AGGGTTGGTAAAGAAACAGAACTAATCACCACTATACAAACCAGAAAACTGGAATACCTAGGCCACGTGATGAGGGGACCAAAATATAAAATTTTGAGATGATAATACAGGGAAAGATTCAAGGAAGAAGATCTGTTGGCCGAAGGCAGAACTCATGGTTAAAGAATCTACGTGATTGGTACCAATGCAGATCGATTATATTTCGATTATAGATCGAAATATTTTAAAATCTCTCGATTAGATAATTGGAGACGTACCATGGGACATTTTTTATTATGGGCACGATTTTACGTTCAAATCTTTAAAGTTACTAGCAGCACCTCAGAGTTCTTTTCTGTAAGTTATGCCGACTTTAGGATTAATTTGTAGAATGGGAGATTTGTATTTTCTATTTTTGATCTGGATTTCCTGCCAATTAGCTAGTAGATTTGGTGCAGTTTTAACCCCAATGGTTTACCTTTTGTAATGGTAATGTCTTCTCTACGTCATACGTCGATCTAAATGCATACTAAGGTACTTTACGTAATTGCTGTATACAATTCATTGTAACCGGTGAGCAAGTATCCATTTTCATTGTGAATTTGGGTTCATTTGCAATTTTTCATTTGTTGACTCACAGTTTGATCTTGTTTAAGCATTTATTAAACTGTCCTTTTAATGTTTTTAGTAGAAATTCTCCTTCTGCTTTTATTGCCTTAACAACGAGTTCATCATTACCAGGCGATCAATGGCTCCTTATTTACTTTAAAGCTGCTTTTACTTTTGACACTGTAGTGGGTAAAAGTACATCAGATCCCCGATTTATGAGGGTTACTATTGTCTAGTCAGTTTTGGCTAATATTGTTGGAGTAGCTATATAGCTATGGGTTTGTAGCATTCTCTAATTATTTTACAATCTAGCTATTTATCTGTTACCTTTCCGTCAGCCTATTTATTTCTTTTTTACTTTGTTTGAATTATTTTCTGATTATCTTTAAACCTTTGTTTTTTTCTACTGTTTGAGTAATTACATTAGCATTATGTCTGCTTAGATCTTTTCTTTTTTCTGCTGAAATTTTTTATCTATTTTTCTACAATCTTCTGTCTTTTCCTTTACTTTCTCACTAAAGTTTTGTCTGATATTCATTAGAGCTTTTGTATCTTTGCTAATATTTTTCCTTTTGATGTGATTTTTTTTGCAAATTTTGAGTTGTTTATTTTAACAGAGTTCGTAATTCATTCATTGTAAATGTAAACTTGTAGACTTTTAGATATTTTTTATGTGTGCTTCTGGCTTTTTTGGTGGATTCCAAACTATTCATTTGCAACTGTTTGTCATCTGCTCTTTCTTTTGTAAGTTTATTGTTACTTTTTAGAAAACCACGGGATAGGAAAAACGTAAATTTTCGGTTCAGAGGCTTCGACCTAAGACCCCAGAAGACCGTAAATTACTTGGGAATCATACTGGACGACAAAATGGCATTCATACACCACATACAAGAAGCTTGTCGGAAGGTAGAAGAGAGAACCTCGACCCTTAACAAGATAATGCCGAATATAGAAGGCCCCGGGTCACACAAAAGATCAGTTATCCTACAGTCAATCATGTCCATCTTACTATGTGGGGCCCCAGGGTGGCATGAGATCCTCAACAAAGCAAAATATAAAGATATGCTTCTTAGGACGTAAAGGAAACCATTGATCAGTGTATGCAGCACGTACAGGACCGTATCAACCATTGCCTTACAAATAGTGGCCGGTGCTGTACCGGTGCATATCCTGGCTAATGAAAGGGTTCGGATGCACCAAAGGGGCAATGAAGTTTTAGGTTCAGGAACACAAGAAAGAAAAGGGAGTTTGGAGATCTGGGAGGACTAATGGTCAAGGGAAACAGACAAGTCTACCTGGACGAGGCTCCTTATCCCAGATGTAGTAAGGTGGTATGAGTGTAAACACAGACGTGTCAACTACTATTTCACCTAATATATGACGGGACATGGATCTTTCCGGTCTTATACATATAGAATTAAGAAGACCGAGGACGATCTGTGTCCCGAGTGTGGAGTGGTTGATGACGCGCATCATGTGGTATTGCGGTAGATGTAGAAATGAATGTATCACCCCCTGGCGGTGGAATATGAATATCTGGTGTTGCTTGGACCTGTTCTCTGATGGGAGTTATGAGTAAAGCTGACGGGTCAGATGCTCGCTAGAAGCGGTCCCACGCCCGTCGGTTGGAAGAAAGAGGGGGTGAGTTTAGTTGGTAGGCGGTCAACTACGGTAAGGCGTAGTCGTCCGAATTCAACACTTCTGGGACACCTTCCCAGAGGTCTTTTGAAGATTCTCACCTCCCAAAAAAAAAAAGGTTTATTGTTACTCTAGTTCTTATTAGTGTGTGATCGCTTTCTATTGATAATTTTTTTAAAAGATTTATAACTGTGTGCAACGTATATCCAGAGTGGCCCAAAAGTCTGTAAACGGCTAATTATCTCGTAAAATGCTAATCATAATTGTACAAAATTTAAGGTACACCTATTTTGGGATACGGAGATTCCATATTTGATGTTTACAATGTTGCCAGATTTGCCGTTTTTCTTATATTATTAGTAACTTTGGTTTTTCAAATACATCACCCTATATATTCAGTTATTATTAGAATCTCCTATTCAATACGAGTTCAACCATATGTAACACTTATGATTTGATGTAATCTGGAAGGTCATAAATGCATAAAACCGAAGTCTGGCAACGCCTAAATTGTATCAATAAATTGTTATACTAACTATTTTCAAATACATTAAAACGTAACAATTGATAGTTTAGAAAATATTTTAACCTAGTAGTTACGTTATTAAGTGTTCAAAATGTGCTCGATTTGTGAGTTGACAGCACCCTAATCGATGGTAGAAGGCGTCTACCACATTTCTCCATGATTGTCTAGAATATATTCGAGATTCATTGATAATTCGTTGCCTTAGCTCTGCAATACTTGCTGGTTAAGTTTTGTAAACTGAATTTTTCAAGTCTCCCTAATAAAAATAATCTTTAGGATTGAAATTGGGTGAACGTGGAGGCCATTCAATTCTACCTTGTCTACCAATTTATCGTCCAGGAAATATCTCATCTAAATATCGCCGAACATTTACACCAACTATCTGACGTTAAATTTCTTTCGACAAAAAATGACCCAATTAAATAAGTAACTGCTATATCTGACCATACATTTAATTTTTGTGGTCTTTGAGTATGGTTTTCACGCATTCGCAGTCTTCAGTGTGAATTTACATCACACCAGTACCTTAAATTGTGTCGATTTACACTTCCACATAGTGTAAAAGTTGCTTCATCGGAAAAACATATTCTGTTAACGAAATTTTAATAATTTTCACTTTTATCCATCATTACCTCAGTAAACTCAAATCTACGAGCAAAGTCATCTTCACTTAATACTTGCAAAAGTTAATTTTATGATTAATATGATTTAAATTTATTTTTACGTAATAAACGTAAGACTGAAGAATGACCTACATCATGTACTTGTGCAACCCTGCCTGGGGATGTATGTGGATCTTCAACAAAACTTTGCTTATATTTGAAGTTTTGTTGTCATTGATAACTCGTTTCGGACAACCTGATCTATCTTTTACTTCTCCAGATTCCTCAAATCGCCTTACAATTTTTGTACCGTCGTCTTATGAATAGGAGAACGGCATTTTAGAGAAGCAATTTAAATTGCAGAACTTTTTGAACCACAACTACTGTCAATTTTAGTTTATAATTTAAATGGTGAACAAATGTCAAAATCACAGCATTCTCCATTCAAATAATTAAATTTATTAAAATCTACATATTTTGCACTGTTTTATGTATTTAAGATCTTTCAGACTACATAAAATCAAGTGAACATATGGTTGAACTCGTATTGAATAGCTGAACTCGTGTGAAATTCACACTGAATGCGTGAAAACCATACTCAAAGACCACAACAATTAAATGTATGGTCAGTTATAGACTTATATACTAGACTATATACTTATTTAATTGGGCCATTTTTTATCGAAAGAAATTTAACGTCAGATAGTTGGTGTAAATGTTCGGCGTTATTTAGAGCGCCGATCTCAATCCTAAAGATTATTTTTATTAGAGATACTTGAAAAATAGAGTTTATAAAACAACCAGCAAGACTTGCATAGCTAAGGCAATGAATTATCGATGAATCTCGAATAATTTCTAGACAATCATGGAGAAATGTGGTAGACGCATTCTACCATCGATTAGAGTGCTGTCATCTCACAAATGGAGCACATTTTAAACACTTAATAACGTAACTATTATGTTAAAAAAGATTCTAAACTATCAATTTGTACGTTTTAATGTATTTGAAAATAGTTAGTATTAAAAAATGTATTAAAACAATTTAGGCGTTGCCAGACCTCCGTTTTATGTATTTTAGACCTTCCAGGCTACATAAAATCATAAGTGTTACATATGGTTAAACTAGTATTTAATAGGAGATTCCAATAATGACTGAATATACAGGGTGATGCATTTGAAAAACCAAAGTTACTAGAAATATAAGAGAAACTGAAAATCTGGCAACATTGTATATACCAAATATGGAATTTCCGTATCCCAAAATAGTAATTTACTAGATAATTAGCCGTTTCCAGACTTTTGGGCCACTCTGTATCTTAGTTTATTAAAAATTATTGATTAGTTGTAAAATTTATAAAATCTTCTTTTTTATTACCCGTGAACTCTATAAATTGCATACCTTCGTTTTTAGCTAATATTATTCTTTTAATATTGAAGTCGTTGAATTTTGTAAGACGTAGTTCATCTTTATTTTATATCCGTGCAACGTGTATAACCTTTTTAGATAGTAATTTTCAGTTTCTTTACCAAAAGTCTTAAACAGAGTTTCTAAGTAATTAATATGATCCAATATAAAAATGGTAAACTCTTAAAAATATTTATTATATATTACAAATTCTTAAGAAATATGTTATAATATTAATTGTTTATAAATTTACATCTGCAAGTTTTGCAAATCCAATGCGTCCTTTGCCAAAATCGAATTCGGTGTAAACAGTTCTCAGGAACGTATCTCCTACCAGCAATCTATTTCCTAAATTCAATGCACTTCGTGTACGGAAACTAGTTAAGCACTTATCGTCGTCCTAAAATATAAGGAAGAATATTTGTTAGTCAATTATGCCAAACTAAATTTTAGGTGGGTTTCTTTGGATTTTAAATATTTCCAATATATACCGTCTTTTCGGATAACTAAGTCGGTGAGGAGCATTGATATTGGCATGACTAAAAATAGTGTAGAAAATTCAGTATATTATTGTTACGAACATGCATTCAGCGTTGGCCCGCCTAACGGTCGCATCTCAAAGCACCGAGAGTTTCGGTGATATATCGAGCGCTGTAAAATTCCACCCGTCAAATAACGAATTAGAGGTGGGACTATTCCCGAATATTCTCGAACATAATACTTTGGAATATATATGTAATGAAATTAGGAGTTGAGTTTAGTTGATAAGATAGTATCGAACTGTAAAGTTATAAATAAATATATTTATATAAATTCGAACCGCTCGTTTTATTTAATCTCGCTACAATTGGTGTCACAGTGTGAGGACAATAATTGATTTATTAAAAAATAAATTCAGCAGTGACTTTGAAAACGAAAAGACTTTTGAACTTTTGAAAAGTAGTGTTCGTCGGGAACAGTCGCGTTGTTCGGTAGTGATCTTTGAACGAAAGATCATTTAAAATAAAAGTACGTGTGTGCCTGATCAAAGATGCTGCTAGTAGAACTTTCAGTGAAGCAGTTGCGTGAGCAACTAGAAGAACGTGATGAAGACTGCAGCGGGTCCAAGAAGATACTCCAAGAACGACTGAAGACTGTTCTCAACAAGAATGGAGACGACCCAGAGACCTTCCAGTTCCAGTCAGCAGAAGAAGCCGTTTTAACTAAAATAATTGATGGAAAATTTGAAAATGTCTCACAAATGATCGAAGAGAGTTCTAAAAAAAATGATAGTAAATTTGAAAATGTGTCGCAAATGATTATTGAAGAAACTTCTAAAATGATTGAAGAAACTTCTAAAAAAAATGATGAAAGATTCAATGAAACGTCTCAAGTTATTAAAGAAGTAGCTAGACAAAACGACGAGAAACTCGAAAATGTGTCACAAAGATTCGACGAGAAATTTGAAAATGTTTCTCAAATGATGGAAGAAGCTTCTTCAAATTTCTCATTATTCTTTTTCGAAGTTTCCAAAACATTCGAAAAAGTAGAAGAGAAGATCAAACAGTTAGAGAGCATGATAACTAACACAAAAATGCTACCACCAGTTAATACGGTAGCTTTAGATCCGGTAGTAAAAGAAGAACCACTGAGAGACGAAACGACACATCATATGAGATTCAAATTACCACCATTTGATGGAAAGTCCTCTTGGTCCATATACCTTAGACAATTTGAAGCTATTGCGCCAGCCAATCATTGGACAGAACAAGAAAAAGCTGTTTCCTTGACTGCTGCTTTACGAGGTGATGCTGCAGATATCCTAAGATCGATTCCTAAGGGTCAAGAAAAATGTTACCAGACCTTGTTCACTCGACTAGACAAACGTTACGGAGATGCCCATCTACAACAAGTCTACAAGGCGCAACTAAGAAGTAGAACTCAACGAGCAAGTGAGAATTTGCAAGAGTTTGAAGCAGATGTTGCTCGTATAGTACGGTTGGCTTATCCGGAGGTACCAGACAATATTTTGGAAGAAATTGCCGTAGATACCTTCGTCAATGGGTTAAAAGAAAGTGAATTACAGAAAGCTTTACGACTAGCAAGACCGAAAGTTTTAGATGAAGCGCTCGCCATTGCCTTGGAACACGAGATAGCTAGTCGAGTTTCACGGAGCTATCAAGTACGAACCTCTGAAGAGAATGACGAACGAAACGATAAACGTCTGGAGGAAATCGTACGGAAAATAGTTCGTAACATGATGCCGAAGAGACGTGAACCCAGATGTTGGAATGGTAACAACGAAGGTCACATTCGTCGTAAATTACAAGAAAATAATACAACAGTCAAAAAGCTAGAACAGATGGAACACTGGGCGGGAAAAAGTCATTCAAATGCTAATGCTCAGTCAAGACGGCCATACAGTGTAAATCGTAATTATTGTCTTGAATTAGAACAATGACTTTGCCCCATGAGGCGAACCACCGTTATTAATTATCAATGGCAGCCTCAACAGCTACAAGACGCTCAAGCAGATGATCCATGTATAAAAAGAGTATTGGATTGGGTGCGTCGAAGTGAAAGACCTTCTTGGCAAGACATTAGTGCATGTAGTCCCGAAGTCAAGTGTTACTGGAGCCAATGGAATTGCCTAGTGCTGAAAGATGATCTTCTGTATAGAACCTTTGAGAACGATGATGGTACAGAAACTAAGCTTCAGTTGATTGTACCTAAAAGTAAAGTGTCAGAAGTATTGCGTCAGTTGCATGACGGTGCATCAGGTGGACACTTTGGTATTACGAAGACTCTGCAAAAGGTTCGAGAACGGTTCTATTGGGTGAACTGTAAAGATGATGTAAGAAGATGGTGCCGAAAATGTGAACTGTGTGCAACTAGTAATGGTCCAGTTGGTAAAAAGAGGGCACCCATGAAACAGTACAATGTTGGTAGTCCTATGGAGAGAGTAGCAATCGACATTGCAGGTCCACTTCCAGAGACGAATGATGGAAATAAATATATCCTAGTAGCCATGGATTATTTTACGAAATGGACTGAGGCCTATGCGATACCAAATCAAGAAGCTGCTGCCGTAGCAGAGGTACTTGTTAAAGAATTCTTTAGCCGATTTGGTGTTCCCATGGAGATCCACTCCGACCAAGGGCGAAACTTCGAGTCAACCATTTTCCAAGACATTTGTAAATTGATTGGTGTCAATAAGACCAGAACGACACCCCTGTATCCTCAATCAGATGGAATAATCGAGAGAATGAACCGAACGATGGGTAAACACCTGTCCAAAGTTGTATCAGAACATCAAAGAGATTGGGACCAGCACATTCATTTCTTCCTAATGGTCTACCGCTCGGCCGTGAATAAAGCTACAGGCCAGACTCCAACCTGCCTGATGTTAGATTGTGAAGTTCGTTTGCCCTGCGACCTAGAGTTTGGCTGCAGACCTTCCGAAGAACATGTTGCAAGCGAAGATTATGTCGATCGCCTGAAGTTAAGAATGAACAGCATTCATGAACTTGCCCGACAACACATCCAGTTAGCCAGTGACAGAATTAAAGATCAATACGATTCTCGATGCAAGAATGAAAGCTATGAAGTAGGTGATCTTGTTTGGCTTTATAATCCACAACGTCGTCGTGGATTGTCTCCTAAACTGCAAAGACAATGGGAGGGTCCGTATGAAATTAAAAAGAGAATAAATGACGTAATATACCGAATTAAGAAGTTGCCGAAAGGTAAACCAAAAGTAGTTCACATAAATCGTCTTGCCCCTTATGCTGGCTCAAATGAAACCGAAGAAGTCCGAACCCTTCAACATGAGATCAAAGATGATCGGCGACCAAGCTTTAATAAATTTATGTCAAATTACGCAGAGAGAAAGAGTGCTAGATTCGGCGTGACGACAGAAGTTCAGCAGGATCTTTTTAGTGTTCAGCATAACGTCTCTCTAGCCCACTGTGTTGCCCAAGATCTTGAGATGAATAAAGGAATCTCATCCGCATTTTATAAGAAATTTGGTCGCTTGGACGAGTTAAAAAACCAGCAGCCTAAAGTTGGAAGAGTGCTGAGATTAGAAGATGGGCAACCTACGAGGATATATGGTGTGCTCTAACTAATTTGAAGAAAATCGTCTGCAATTACGACATTAAGAACTTGGCTTTACCCAAGATAGGCCATGCACTAGATAATCTGGATTGGAAGATTGTCAGAAGCATGCTTGAAGTGATCTTCCGAGAAACCGGTGTAAGAATTACTGTGTGTTGCATTAATCCGAAGAGATCGTGTCCTTCAAAGACAGTAGACTGTTATTTCTTTCTGAGGGGTTCATGCAGAGCTGGATATTCCTGTAGATTCCGCCATCCTGGGCCTATAGATAGAGTTCCTGATCGGGACGCTCAGATCTAAGAGGGGAGCAGTGTTACGAACATGCATTCAGCGTTGGCCCGCCTAACGGTCGCATCTCGAAGCACCGAGAGTTTCGGTGATATATCGAGCGCTGTAAAATTCCACCCGTCAAATAACGAATTAGAGGTGGGACTATTCCCGAATATTCTCAAACATAATACTTTGGTATATATATATATATATATATATATATATATATATATATATATATATATAATATATATATATATGTAATGAAATTAGGAGTTGAGTTTAGTTGATAAGATAGTATCGAACTGTAAAGTTATAAATAAATATATTTATATAAATTCGAACCGCTCGTTTTATTTAATCTCGCTACATTATTATCCAGTGTATAAAATATTGATGATAATAAAAGAAGAAAAAATAGGAATTTGTCAGCTTTCAGCTTTTTAGGCCCTTCGCAAAGACGTTTTATTGCAGTTTTTTGTGTTTAGTGTTGATTTTTTATACACAGTTTTTAACAAGGTTCGAATTGAACTTGCACAAGATTATTCACGCACCAAACTTCCGAAATAACCGTATGTTCGAAATTTGAGTAAAGAGTCAAAATTTACGGAAAACGATTTGTCACTAATACTAACGAATGTGATCCAGAGTTTAACAAATATGAGGGCGGTAGCTGGAAGCTGATTGAATGCGACAATGAGGATTTGGCAAAAAACTGCAAAAAAGAAGCCAAAAACCACAAAGATGAAAGTCTCGTGAATTAAGGTGATGATTTTACCGACATAGTACATCACAATTGATGGTGATGGCAATTCAAATACTTGGGATGTTTGCTGAATGAGGGTTGGACCCCGAGAATGAAATAAAGAGCAGAGTTGAACAAGCCAGAAATGCTTTTTTGAGGCTTCGTAAGTTTCTGACTGATCGCAAATTGGACTTCAATCTCCGGTACAAGATGCTTAAGTGTTACGTGTGGCCTGTTCTGCTGTACGAAATGGAAGCATGGACGTTAAAGGCCAGTTCCATTAACAAACT